ATATAGTAAATCTGACAAAACTTCAAATGTTTCAACGTGATTATAGTTGTTGAGTTGGATCATGTGAATGATATATCTTAATATAAAAGAAGAAAAATCTATATTATATTATAATTTCTTTATATTTAATGGACTAAAATCAAACAAACTTTTAAAAAAGTATATAGTAAGGTACTAAATAATTGGAAATTATTGAACAACTAATTCTTTTTTATAAAAATGAACTAAAATAACTTTTAAGTGAAAATACAAACGTAAAAACAAAATGTTTTGGCAGAAAAATATGATCGTTTAATTAATATTAATTAGAAATTTATATCATGATGAAGTGATGTTAGCTGAATCCATAATCTTACATGAAGTAGAAATGAAGATTTTCAGATCTCCAAATGAATATGATGCTAAGTTTAGATCGAATAGGTATCATTATCAAACTTGATTAATATGTAATATATAGAGACATTTTTCTTGATTAATGAATAATTGGGTCATCTTCCGCTCATTTGTTTTAATAGAATAAGGTTTCGTATTAGAATTACAGAAAATTCACTTCTAAATATACGGTCACTAATCCTTATTTGAATAGAATTTATTTCGTATAAAACTGACATTATTTAGAGGACAATATGTAAAGACATAACTAAATTTATCGAAAAATACATGATTACTTAAAGCTAAAAATAGATGAATGTATAAAAATTAGAAAATAAACAAACTAGAAAACGATAAACACAATTCATTTCCATATGATTGTCCAAAATATATGATAAATAAACAAGCTGACATAACCAATAGAAACGCATGAACTCATAGAAAGACAACAAATAATCATATATATGTATAAAGGGAGAGAGAGTAGTGTTTTTTACTACAAGTGCTCAACGCTTGGTTAGGCATTTAAGCATACAAATAAGCAGGAAATTGCAATAAATCAGTAGAGCAAAAGTATGCAACTAATTCCTAAAACTCTTGTATAACACGTAATATCCTAACATGCACATATGTCTACTTATATATATATATATATATATATATATATATATATATATATATATATATATATATATATATGAATGAAACGCTATTAGTATACGACCTCAAGCGCGACTACTTATAATGAATGACATAGAAAGAAGAGAGAAAATTATTTTATTGTTTAATATATTGTTTTAACACGGTTATTATTTCTATTAAAATAAATCACAAATAAACAGAACAATATATGTGCATAAATTCTAAGTGAAATACTTGTAAGTTGAACTATTCATTCATTATTAAAGAGTCCTAAGTATAAATGCGAATATCGATAACCATATGAGCGAGAATATAAATTATGGACTAGCCAATCAGATTTAGGATTAAAGGTATCGAATTTTGGCGCGAAACTCAATCATTCATTTGGCTAAATAGAGTATCGACATTATAGCTGATGTCAGTTCGTGATGAAAACCATAAATGAAATTCCTAACCCTAACCATCAATTGTAAATCATAATCTTTATTCTTCACACTACTTCATAACCCCCATTTAATCCTAATAAGTAGGTGGATATTCCCAAGGTCACCTCGGCGTCGCTCAAATGTCGCCCATAAATTATAGTCTCACCACCATATGTTATACAAACAATATCATTATAGCATAAATAATATTTTTCAGTAAGTCATGACTATGTTAATTCAATGACCTTGTACGAAACTCTTATCAACAATAAAATTATTCTATATTAGAGGTATGCTGTAATTAGTTACAAAAAATATATTTCAAGTAAATAATGTTACTTCCAATTATTCCTCTGTGGATATATTTGACAAGCCAACTTCAATTTTTTTATTAAAAAAGAAGACAGATGAATGTTACAAACCATCTTAGATTATAGTATATGTTCACCATTAGAAGTTGATAGACATTATTATCAAGGTTTGGTTTGATAATTTTAAATAAATTGAGCATTGGGTGGATTGTTATCAATAAAAATTGACCTGGTCAAACCTGTTTTTGATTGATCGCAACTAATATTCTTGCTATGTTCCTTCGTACTATTTAAACTTGGATTAATTTAATTTGGTTATTTATTCTCAGAAAAACTGGCTTACACTGAGTCACTAAATGTCAAAAAAATTTAAGTTTTCTACTCACTGAGATATTACAATTATAGTATTTTTATTTATAATAGAAGTTAAAACTTAAAGGAGAACATCAAAGATTCTCGATGATGGTCCAGCATTGATCGCTTCATGATTTTAATGAAAAATATTGATTAGATTAACAAAATACAACAACTACTCAAGATGTACACTCAGTTATTGAAATTCATAGTTAGTATAACAATAAGGGTTAATCAACTAATTTCTAAAAATAGAAATACACCTATATTGCCTATTTGAAGCAGATGTTAATGGTATTGTTTATGAGGACTATGGAAACTTTACAATCAAGGTAACCAAGGAAATACATAATACATTAAAATGATATTTCTACATTAATTTTCAAGTTAAGGATTAATTTTACTTCACTATATTTAGTAAGTATTCATTATGTGGTAGGCAAGACTAGATCATTTATCATATTCTGTATTATCTTGTCAATAATTTTCAAACTCAACTAATAAATACTTCATTTAATAATGCTAGTTTTTATACGCCAGAAAATTCTCAAGTACACTTGATTGCTTTCAAGGACCAGAAAAAAGATGTTAATAAACAGGGCTTTTTATCTTTTATAGTTTACATCATTTTATTTCTTTTTTCCCAAATACTTTTGTATTTAGACTTCAAGCATCTATACATCACATTTTTTCGTATTATGTAACTTTTATTGATTTTTTTTGAGTAAATGTAATGTAATAAATAACCTTTTTTATGCCTATCAGCGTTTTCAATAAATAGAATTACAGCTAGTCTGTAGTTAGTTTAGCGTGAGTGCAATCTAAAGGCCTATTATATATATTTGTACATGAGTTTTGCTTCTAATTCAGTTAACTAGTTCTAATTTTAAAGGAACAAGTTAGATAATTGATTGATTAATCAGACAAAAAATACTAACATTTTCAGTCAAACAATTAATATTACATTCTGACATTTTGATATGCCTGACATGATATCATTCACAAAGTGTATTAGTTAAACGAATAACGATCGCGAAATGTTACACAGAATTTTGTACTTTAACTCATACCATCCCAGCTATCAACCAACTACCATAGTAAACAACAAGATATCTTGTTATATATATATATATATATATATACGATATTCTTTCTTTTTTCCCTCTCCTCTCATTTATGCTACGCATTAACCACCTTAAAGAGTTAATAGCAATAACGTCCATCATGCTTTATTTTATTTTATTCTAAGTCCAGTTTTTTCATCCTTTTACACTGCTTGTACCATTTCAACTGTATTTTTTATACTAAACGTGTAAGTTGGTAAGTAGACCATTTCAAATCCCATTGTACATTTTAAAAGCATTTCCTTTTTAATCTCTCCCTACCTACATTGTACTAACACTAAGAAAGAACTTAATAGATTTAAGGAAAATCAACTAATAAGAAGTTATTCTGACCACAAAAAACTGACATCAACTCAATCATACTATCATATTAAATTCAGTCTGTGAGATTAGAACGGCCAAGAATTAATCTTGTCTGAGATTGTAGGTGCACAATATCAGTTCTTTGTGAAAATTATTATCATTTAATTATACAATGTTTCCATATAACTGTGTTGATTCAACAAAAAAAAACGGTAGCAATACTATTTCATGCAAACAATTTTTCTTCTAAAATATACATGCTTTGACTTAAGATTATATATACACTTATCAATTTCTACATAATTTATGTATTTTTAGGTGTCTAACATGAAAACTGTAAAATACGATAAAGTGAATTACATAAATTGTGAAAACAGAAAAACTAACTACAACAACCAAATAATCATAGTATTAACGACTAACCGGGAAGTACTGGACAGTTATTTCATTTTGGCATGGGACTCTTGAACAATTCTCACTCACGACCCCACTTAGGATCGAACCCAGCACCTTCAAACTTCGTGTTAAGTGTTTAATATCTAGACTTCAATCCAATTATGTACTTGTCTAACTTCTACCCATTTACGATAATACTCATTCAGGTCGCACTGCCTTCAGTGGATAATTGCTACACACCCGACATGGTTGAACTTCATTGGTCACAGTACTAATGGATGAAACGTCAGAAGTCAAAAGGTTAAGATATGATCCCGAAACCTAAAAATCCTGTATTTATCCTCGGTGAGGTTGCGGATACACACCCCTGAGAAGTCTCACAGAACAAAAATAGCAGTCCAGTACTATCTAGTATTCACTGATTACCTAATTAAATCAGTTAGTGATGTAAACTACAAATTTTTCTGACTATCATGTGATAGTTGTGTTTTTTGTGTAGTAAATACATCTCTCGAAATGATTTGAAGTATTTAAAATGTCTATACTGATAATGAACTGTAGACTTCAGAACAATAAAACAAGGACGGATTATAAATGAATTATCATTAACAACCATCACAAAACGTAAATGGTTTATTCTGGATAGTAGATTATTAATAAGGTAAGTAACAAAATAAAAATTTCGTCACGGCTATTTAAAAAGCAATTTACAAATTAAGTACAGATTTATACACGTGACTACTAGCTATATCTGCTGTACATCACCTGATCATACAAATTATAGGCAACTATAAGTATAAATTGTTGTCTCTTAAATGAAGTTACAAACAGGAAAATGAAACAATTTCACGAAAGTTTGCTTATCCAATATAGATATCTCTGAATTTGATTTTTTTTGTAAATACATCTCAGTTAGAACAAATTCACTTGAAACAAATCTGGATTACAATCAAATGAAGGCAAGATGTAAATATAGATTAAATTTTGTGGAAACAAAATGTTTTGAGAAGCAAAAATTATGTTGATAAAATCATAGTCTTTTTGAAAAAAAAGTACAATAACAAACTGCTTACTTTTATTTGTTAAATCGATCTCCATATGACTCCATGATCCTGATTTTTGATCGGTTCTCGATCGCCTCATTTTGTGCCCACTACAATTACTGCACAAATTGCACAGTAAACGTATCACTTTTGCGCAATTTTTCTGTATAAACCAGCTATTACTTGTTATTTAATGTCATGGAATGTTGAAATTCTGTTAAATAGCTTAAAAATGATTGGAATGATAGATGACTTGTAATTAATTTGAGAAGTTGTAACTTGTTTTAACCGACATATTATCTGCAATCAAAATTAGAGCAATGAAGTTGAAGTTATCTGTAAAAACAAAACTGACTGCATTGAAAATTATAAACAAATTAATCAACTTTATAAAAAAAACTTTGTATAGTTTGAAGCCGGATTCCCTTAAGAAATTGCATCAGTCGAGGAAAACCACTTAAAAATGGAAAGACACTGAATAACAACACTGTCCTGGTTTCCAGAATCTATGCGCATCACGTAATCAAAACACCAAACAGGAATTAACTCACAACTAACACGTTTTTTAGTGAATACAGTATATTTAAAGCAGGAAAAATTCAGTTATATTTTAAATTTCAGTCAGCTTGAAAGCTTAGCAAGATTCGTTTCCGATTTCACTGATGAGTCATTCCTTTATCCTAAACAATTTTTCAACTTACAGGTTGATAAATTTACAGTGAAAATTTGAAAACTCCATCCCAATCTTTATCTGTGTATGCAAATTTTACTGTAAAAATAACTCGTCCATTGAGTCTACGGTATACTAGCAAGACTTTTTAGAGTTTTACACTATCATGTAATACGAAAACAAAGTTCTTAAAATATTTTACCTAAGAACCATAAGGAAGTCAACAATGATGATCAATGAAACTTTTTTAATCTAGAAAAGGGTGATTCCTTAAATTGGTATTGAATCCTTTTTTACAACTATTCATATTCTGAATAGTTTAATATAAACTCTCTCAACCAAACAGCTGAGCAGAAGTGGCTTATATTAAGTCACATAACGTCAGAAATATAGCTTTTCTACTTATTGGGACGTAACGAAAAATACATTCATTAACTACTTTCTACCCAACGCTCAATTTATTTAAAACTACCAAGTCCAATCTTGGTACTGATACCTACAGACAAATGAATGTTCTGAACTCGAATCACTAAGTTAGCAATCACTTTAGACACATTTTATCGTAAGAGACAACGGCCCTCAAAAACGCCTAGGCATTCAGTATTCAAAATCTTTATTATTATTATTATTATTATTATTATTATTATTATTATTATTATTATTAAGAGTTATATCCATTCACTTGAAGCCTCATTATTTTTGCCTTGAATAATCTAAGTCGTGTCTGTTTTTTATTTGTAAACCTGGAATTGACGATAAAACATAATTTGTACGAAGTTACTGACATCGCTATTAACTATTTAATACAATTACTTTTCCACATAAGAATTATAACTACAGTCAAAAATACAGACACGATTATGCTCGTAAGATCTGAAACGGAATTTCGAAATATAATCATTCATTTATTCGTTCAAAATTATCATATTTTACACACCAAATTAATGAAACGAAATCATTAAAATAAAAAGACAAATATGTGAAAATAACGTGAAAAGTTACTACACAATACTGGCATAATACAGCTTATAAATACAATCGAAATAGTAAAGCTTTTTGTTGTGGTGTAATACTATAGATATCAAGAACTCTACAGAGGGTAACAGTATTAATCGTAACAAAAAAGAGAAGTAAAAAAAGGAGGAAAAACGTGAAAATAGTGAAACCATGAAAACAGAAACTGATGAAGGATAAGTCATTCATAACGATGGTTGAAAAAGGAATTAAGTGAATATAAGCACCCAAGAAACATTCACTGTAAATATCTTTAGATTTCTTCTAATTTTTTAATCACACTGGAAATATTTTCAACCTACCCACTCAAAACACAAAATAGGCAACGTAAATTTAGTAATATATACCACTTTAACTGAAACATTTCATACACTACATATCTTTGACGTGAAAAGACTCAATCCTAACTTTTTCCAATGAAAAATGAAATACGATTTATGCAGGTAATGTTAGTTACTTAGTTGAACTCCAAATATGAGTATACTTTCAACCAGCACTTAGTAAACAACATATCTAAAGTAGGAATGCCAAAGATTTTCATTGATGCAAACATTTATAAAACTATGAATCAAATGCTCGTCATGTAGCATCACAAATATAGGTATAAGAAAATAGTTGCTCATAAAAGTATCTTTTTTCTCAATCGAATTAAAGCTAGATTATCCAAAAACAGCAAGAACTTTTAATTTTGAATAATTCATACTCATATCCTGAATGCTTTTAATAAAAGTGAAGTGTTCATTGATTTTTCAGAGCAGAACACTTTAGAAGGTTAAACTCGATGAAGAAACATTAAGGTATGATTGACATGATCAGTCTTAGCAACCGAATATTATAATTACCCTTCTTAATTAGAATGTAGTTCATACTTAGGTATCTGGTAAATGAGTCAATTTAAAAAGTTTTTAAAGTCGGGCAATCAGAAACAAGAAGTCACATAAGTCAACTCATGGCAATCTTTGAAAGACGTTATATCGACAGCTTATTAGTAATGAATTAATAGACTGCTGCAAAAATCTTCTATTCTCGTAGTCGGATAACTGTATCGATTGATGTCATCTAATTCTAAAAAATTTACGATTCATCAGGTAAGTCCCAAAAACAACTTTATATGTATTTACTTCACCAACACAGATACGAAAGTATACAATGTAATTATTAAAATTTTCTTCAGTTATCCAACAAACAATCAAGACTAATTTGGGATCCATGATTAAACGATCTAGACATTGACCAAATAACGGAAACGAATCAACCATAGTTATCATAAATTTCGATAGAACAATAAGAAGATGGAGTTGATCTAAACTCATTGTTTGATCAAGATTTATAGAAGCGACTACCTGTTTTAAAGTTCTGAAAAATAGTTATCATACTAAAATAAGATGATACATTTAGAAGAACAATTAAATGACATATTTTAGGCTGAAACTGTTTTATTTACAGTGATTAACGCTTTGATGATGATTTGTTGATCAAGATTAATTGGTTAAATTATTTATGGATATCGAATTTGTCTACTTAATAAAACTGATCAAACGGGTGTAGGATACAGAACAATGATCTGAACGTTTATTGCAAAAAATTACACGACTATCAAGGGTATAAGATTGCTTCCCACGACGCACTTGTTAGTAATCCGCGCCAGTTATCTTATAGGTGTCTAATACAAATATCTAGAAAGCAACTACTAAGGTTTGATAATTTCTATACTGTTTTAATTCATTCCCCATTTAAATAATAATTGTTAATCATCCCCTTATAAATTCCATCATCGTGATAAAAATTGTCACCATTACATTTATTGACAACTGGGTCACATTTGTTATAGCAAACATAGTGATCGCATTCACTAACGATTATGATAACAACGGTGATGATCATAATGAAAATAAGTAAAAATCAATAGACTGTTTATTTTCATTGGCTATCTTCATTAACTTAACTGTGTTAAGTTTTTTTAGGTTATTGGAGGTATTCTACAAGAAACCTTGGACTTAGGTTTCGTGCTGATTGACACTCGTCAGCAAAATTTACGTGTAATATTGGATGAGCATGTGCTCCTTGAAATATTCGACCCCGTGTCACCCAGCCTCACGGTCTGAAACTTTACCTAACATCTCAACACAGTCCATGTGATGTTGAGTCACTCAAACTAGTGGTTACGATACACCTTGACCCATAGAGTTTGGACAGCATTAAAATGACTAGACGAACATGATACCACCCTCTACTCAATGACTAATCAACCGTATTAAAGTTATTTGTACATCGAAATAAAATACTAAAAATATAGGTGGCATATATCTCAATAAACACAGAAACGTAAACCAACGGAATCTGTAAAAATATCCAATTAAACGTCACTATAAATATGATTACTTATGGCCTATCGATCAAATAGGCTGTAAATACTATAATAAGTGACAAACCGTAGCTCTGAATTATGTCCGGCACTATATTTTAATGGGTTGTCCTTAAAAGAGCATAATTCTATAGGTGTGTGATTATGCGTTATGATGCAGCTAACCTCCACTTATCGGATGCTAAACGAAGTATAGACTGTTACCACTCTATCCATTTTAATAACTTTCATTGCATTTTTAAATAGAAAAGTTTGATAAGTAGTTGGTTTTTGTACACAACACACTACCTGAAGAAGCTGCTTCACACCAGTTTATTAGTGAATAATTGGACTTTTGGATAAACCTAAGTTTCAGAAGAGCAAGCGACCTTCAAAAAAACTCGTTACTGAGTTGCGTAACCCAGAACGAAGAATTCCCAGTTACTGTCTTCAATGCTGGACTTCATCCGTGAAATTATGTGATCACTAAGAAGCAAAACTCAATTCCACTCACTTATCGTATAAACATTTGAAATGATCAAGAAAATGGTTTGTATGTACTTTAACTAGTTTTATTATAATGTTGCAGATATTCCTAGATTAACTACTTGTCGCGTTTATATTTTTCCCATTTTAAAATGACCCAGCTTTCAGAAAAGTACGGTGAATAACAACAATAACAATACGATAATATCATAACTAATAATCCCTTTGAAACAGTTACCCTTCACTTATTCTTTATGTGAAACAAGTTTTTATAAACCACTTTCTTATAATTTCAGTCAAGTATAATTATTTATGTTGTTACAAATATTATTAGAAAATAATGATGATAATAATCATGCAAGACATAATAAAAAGGATGATTACAAGCTTATTTGTCAAACTACTGAAGTCATGTACAAACTTTCTATTATCAAATACTGACAGAAGAGAATTTGATTTTGATTTCACCAACAACACCAGTTTTTGTCCACGTAACTGTAAAATGAAACAAAACATGGGAAGACGCACCACATACTATCGAGTTCAGGAATTGTGTTGCCAACTGAATATATATATGGAACGTTTTAAATTGAGAAAATATTAACTAAAAGGCTTAACAACTTTCAAAAAATAAGGTTGTCTTCAACGTCTAAAACCAAGTTAATGGTAATGCATCCAAGTTCTTGACTAATACAAGATTAACAAACTAGATGACACTGATTGACCTTGTTTGTTACCCAATAAACTAGATTTTTATTAAAGTTTAACAAAATGGGATTTTAAACTTCAGTGCATCTCTTCCAGGTGTTACATCCCTTTGATTAACAGAAAGAGGGAAACTAATAGTAATGAAAAATGAAAACATAGCGAAAGAATAATAAATACAAACGATTGCGATTTTGAATTATAAAGTTAATCACACCTTTTCACAAACTAAATACTTTCCTACCACTGGACCATTAGCAATTTGTTTCACTAATTAGAAATACATCCAATTATTCCGTTGATTTAAAGATTTCAATGCGTTTTATGCAAATCAGATACTTAAACAACAAATCCCATGTGAGACTGTAGTGGTGTTCACAAAATATTAGCTAAGTTATGCGTTGAAAGACATGCATCTTTGGTTAAACTCCAACAAGCACATAGTGAAGGTCAACAAATATGGAAATATAGCTCAGAACTTTCGTACACTGCTTTCAGGCACTTAACTGCAAATACAGTGAGCTGAGATGTAGTTATTTATAGAGACGGCTTAGCAGCTATACTTGATCCACAACAACTAAATACCGTTGAGAATAAGACTAATTTACTGAGTTATCAGTTCTATTGACAAAACTCAAGCCAAAACAACACGTACAACCTTAAATTGATATTACAACAACTATGGCAAGCCATTCATCCGAGATTAACTAATAATATGAAAGTAACAAAGAATAGATCTCAGTATTAATTATTCATATAACATAAATTTCACTTGAATAAATGCATCCAATGATTTTATAAAACGTAGATAAAGTTAAAGTCTTTCAGAATTAACTAAGTTAGCTCTTAAGTATATCACTAAAAATTCGACCTTCCAGTAAAATAATAACTACAAGTGGATTGATAACTAGAAATAAAGCTGAAATACTAAGGATGATGTATTCTTTTAATTATTAAATAGTAGTTTTGTGTGGCTAGCTTAAGTACTGCTTTTAATTATAACCTTCCACTTGTCAGTTCAGATAAATGTATGATAATCAGCAAATCATCGTTAAACGCAAGTTTAAATATATAGATAGCATGTTTTTGATCATATTTGTTGTTTAAATTATAATAAACGAATTTGTACAGGGTTATCAAATGGCATCTTTTTCCCTCATTTACACAACTATCATTTAAAAAATGATTGCCTTGTAATTATGCGTTACAATTCGTCAGCTACGCTTAATTTTGTACACTTAAAAGCTCAGTTTAAGAGGTTCATATAAAGATATAACCTCATAATGCAATCATTCCAAATGTAGTACTTCAAAAAAATTCATATTTTATAGTATTAAATATTTTACAGAACCAATAACACTTAGGTTGATAAATATTGAAGTTGCGGAGCGGAAGTGTTTCACAAATTCATTTTTTATCTGACATAATCATAATCTAACTAAAAATACTGAGTTCATTACTTTTTTCTATACGATTATAAATGATTTTTCGACTTGAATTAACTTGAAAACAAAGATAAATGTTATGGTTCATCTTTTACCAATATACTGCTCCGGTGGAATACTTTCGAAAGATCCAAATAAAAACTTACAATCTTTGGCGTTGCCTACTCTGAGAAAAAATAGTGACAATTTCCAGTAAATAATCGAGTTGTTAATGGAACACCTAAGTGCTACTAAGTCGGCAAGTATAAGTTGATGAACACGACACTCTCTGGCACAGACCTATTACTCAGATGTTTAGATAATACCTTTAAGAACAGATTTTGATCTCGTAAACTAATGGATGACTAGTTTATCTACTGTCACTAAAGAATGATCACATTAGACCAGAAAGTGGCTAAAAAAGAGAAATGAAACCGACTGAACTGTGAACCGAAAAAACTATCGTGCTATTACGTCCACGGTTTAATTTCTGAAAAACCTAATTTTTATGGAAGATGAAATTCATATTGTAAAATATATAATAGAGCTCAGTATGGCATGATATATAATGATATACGTTGTGCAGTACTGTGAGAAAACTACCATATCTGCACATATAATTAAATAACCAATTTGGGTTGCTTTGCATTGCAAAAAATCAATCACTTCAAGTTCTATATCCGAAAAATTTGCTACAATAGACTGATAAGTTACTAATATAAAACATGCATAAAGCAATGTAGAGGAAAAGAATCAAAAGCGTGCTCTAACTTACAATAAACTTTCGTTAAGGAAACAAACTAATTGATGAGTAATCTACTAGAAACCAGTTGTTATCATCTGCACACGAAATGACCTACCGATGACCTACAGATCTGTTTTTAATGCACAAGCAAGTTATAACAGAGTAACATAGAAAAACAAAACTTCGCTCAATATACGGCCTACGTCGTTATTAATACTGCTCTAGTTATAGAACTTATCATTAAATTGTGGATTTGTCATGATGTGTGATTAGAGTACAGTGCCACTACAAGCTCATCAAATCAAAATGAAAGCGACCAAACTGAGAATCGAACTGCTGAAAGGGCCTAAAGGAATACGTCTAGTTACAAATTTCTGACGTTTATATAGAATTTTTCTCACACCACAGCATTTCTCTTCATACCAGACCAGTAAAATCGTTCCTTTGTGAGCTTGAATATCTCTCCAGAACCCTAATGTGAAAGTTTTTTAACATAATAAAGTCTTCTTACTTCTTTTTATCTGTTTGACCTGAAACTTTAGGGTTGTTGACGTTAATTCATATCAATGACCTCCCGAAACTAGGTGGGTTTGAGCACGTTGATTCTTTAGAATTATTCTGACGGACTTGTCAGTTACAAAACTTCCACAAAATAGATCTTTTGCCCTTGAAATATGTGAAGAATTTGAGATTGACTGCAAGATATGGTTTAATTGGTGTAATTTTCAAGAACCATACCTGTCAGCAAGTGAGCTTATGAGAAACCAGTCGTTCGTGGCTGATAATGATATAGAACAGTCGAGACTCTATAGAGTGTCCTATAAAACAGTGCACAGCTAAAAGCTTCCTACCAAAAGTGCCATACATCAGTCCAGCGGCTTACAATTATCTCATACATCTAAAAAGCTGTCAAGTCTCATCTGCTCATCACTAGAATATTCCGGCTTCTGAGTCAGGTAAATCTGAGACGATGCTAACGGATACTTGGTGTTGTCATGAGTACTACTTACATGACGATGTCATACACTACTGTGCTCGGTGCTTTCTTCACATTCGTCCAATTCGGTTATCCTTGCTCGCATACCAAATTGATCTGGTAACAACCGCAAAAACATCTCGAATTTCGGTAGGAGCCACTTATAAAAACTTACACATTCGTTAAAACCTCATGGTTGCCTGATTGAGGTCACCTCTTTGCAACTCAGAATCGACATTGTAGTGGCGAAACACTCATACGGGGACAACCAATTAATTACTTAATGCGAAGTTACTAAGTTCTTCAGCAAAATGTCAAAAACCACACACTAAACACTTCACCTGCAAATCTCTCATCAGTTGTCTCAAAATCCATCGTTCCTTCATTGCTATTACAGTTATTGTCTGCCTACATTACCGTTCTGTTCAAATCGATCTTTCCAACCTTCTACTTCCAGGCATTCCACTTTGAATCAGTGTTAAATATTACTTTTGTCGACGGACACTACACCCTCATCTTGTGCTTCAAAGAGTAGGAACATTCAGCGACGGTGACTTTATCAAAAACGTTCACATACGTTGCTCTTTTCTGGTATTTCTAGATATTCCTAGTAGTCCCATATTGTTTGATTCATTGAAGAACAAATTTCAGATGCTGGACATGAGATGTCAGCATGCAAAAACTGGAAAATTTTGAGAACCTAACCGATGGTTCGTTTACATTTTGACGCCATATGTCCTGATCCGAAAGGCAGACAGGTGATAATCGCAATCTAAATAAGGTCGTCGTTAGAGATCGGAATATGGTTATCTTCGCAGTTGGAGTATCGACGTCTCTATAGCGAATTAAATAGAATGTATTTAACTATCTCCAACTGCCAAAACAGAATTAGTTTATTTGGTAATGGCAGCACTGATGTCAATTACAGCTCTCTAAACAATAAGAATGTCTTCATACTTTCATTAGATATATTATCCCCGACTCTGAATTCCAATCACGAGCGAGGTCACAATTTGGTGATAATGGCTCCCGGAAGCGAAATATCCACAGAACCAAAAAAGACAAATGGTTCAACACCTCATCTCCTTTGACAATTATTTATCTTAATGAAGACCAGTGGAAAGACAATCATGCTTTTCAAGTCAGCCGTTAAGTCGTGAATGTGTCAAAGAATTAGGCTCTGAGGTGATTTTTGTAGTAACCGCCATAAATATGTCAATTATTTCCGACCATTTATAAAACTCATATGCAACCGAGAAAACTATGAACCATTTGATTTCCGGACAACCTCCAGGATCAACATCTATTCGAATTTGTTTCTTTCCATTCAAAATCTTTAGAACTCAGTCAGGATAATTTAAAATTTCCAGGTTACGCTGTAGTTACTATCGCGAATAATCGTAGACAGCTTCTTGTTACATAATTGTTGTAAAGAAACCATTTCCGAGCTTATACAGAGATGCGATTGTACACGAGCATCAAAATTGTTCATAGAATCTCCCCTATATTTAAGAAGATTCTGTAGAATTAAGAATAATGTTGCGTTGAATTTGAAGAAAAAAATGAAAGAAAGTGAAATATATAAGTAAATTAATGATCATGTTTCTTCAATCTAATTATTTCAACAAGTTATGTGTTTTTCATTTGTTTTAATTTATCATTATGTCCATTAATCGCATAACCTATTCAGGCGCTTTTATGAAAAGCCTTTGACTTTTCGCTGCACAAGTTACAAAAAAGTACTATAAAAGACATCGTGGTGGTTGGTAATATGCGTTTAAGAGAATGAACATTAATCGTATGTCGATTCCCGAGCTGCTAAATTCTAACTGCCGATCACTAATCAACAAAGTGGACTATCTGCAATTCCCCCTCAGTCAAAATATGTATCGCAATTGTGGTATCATCACAATTGAAGAACCTTGGTTAAATAATTTGCAGGATGACTGCCTAGTATCACTACGTGATTTCAAAATTTATCATCAGCATCAATCAAACAAAAAAAGGTGTGGTGGCGGTGTAGCTGCTTTTGTAAACATAAACTGGTGTCTATCTTCGTTTGTGTTTTAAGTTTTCAAATGAATTTATCGACTGTCTAACTCTAAGATGTCGTCCAAAACATCTGAATAAATACAAATACGATAATGTCACCGAAATCTACGTTACTCCAGATTGCACATAGTCTGCACTATCTGTTTTCGCTGATAATATCACTGAGTTCGCTGTTACTGCCTTCAGTTGTATGTGGTGATTTCAATTCCTGTGACTGTAGCCTCCTTACGTCACTAGGTCAATAAAATATGGTAGATTTTCCTACCCGTTTGTGTGCTCATTTAGACTTCGTTTTCATTAATGATGTGGATATATATGCGACTCGTAAACGTGCTCCTTTGTCTAGCTCAGATCACTGTATAATTCGTGTTCGACCAAAGTATAAGGAAAGCATGGGAGGAGTACACTCTTACGTCAAACCAAGAAAGTCAAATATAGGAATAACTCAGAAAAAAATATCCGAAATCTGAAAAACATGTTTCATACGATTAACTGGGAATTATTTACACATGTGTAAAGACTCAGAATTATCACGAGAACGCGACTGGTCTAATAAAAACAATTATTATTATAACCAACTGTACCAGTGTTTGTTTTAATGTGCTTTTGTTTAACTGTGCTAATTATAGCCATTTTGTGCTTCCATTACCTTCCATCATTGTTCCGCGGTTTTTGATACTGTTCGCACGTACTCCTGTCTTCTGCTTCCACTTGTACCATTTCTTGGCACGATCTCGGTATTCGTTCAATACCACGAGATCGCCAACGAAATAAATCTGGTTACGTTCGATCTTCGCCTTCTGATTTATCTGGCACGTGTTTCTTGGTAGCGGTGTTCACAGTTAATCTCAACTCGACGCCACGCTACAATTGGTGATCCCAAAGTTTGGAACACGCCTCAAACTCTGGTCAAATCTTCCAAAGAAGCCAATTCGGTGGGTCTATGATTTATCTATCCACGTCTGTCGTGTATTTTCAATTTTTTTAATATATAATATACGCGACATGACGGATAACGATAAGAATAGTATTAATATAATAGACTCCCATTTATGTGTACCGAACTCTTGTTACTTTTTATTCGCCTGACGATGAATTCCACGCTTTATTCGAGAAATTTTCCCCTATTAACTATTCTCCTCGCTGACCCGGCTGTTTGGTACGGAATGCATTCGCATACGCATTAACGTCTACCTCCCAGCATCAAATGGTTAAGTTGAACGGTTTCATTGCCAACTTAAAAGTGCTCTACGAGCACACGAGAACGACAACTGATACGAAACCTTATCGCTCGTCCCCTTAGGTATTCGAACGAGCTTGAAGGCAGATATACAATGTTCCGCCGCTGAACTGGTATACCGCACGACATTGCGTCTGCCCGGAGAATTCTTCACACCACTTAGCAGACCTCATTTCGGTATATCAGACTACGTCCATCGACTGTCTGCATTTATGCGAACGCTGTCTCCGGTGTCAACTCGAATACAACATCGACAGGTCGCTCTCCCTTGAGAGTTATCTACTTGTTCACATGTTTTCATACGAGTAGATTCGGTACGCAAACCCTGGCAACAACCTTACGAAGGCCCTTTTCACGTGATCGCTCGTCACGAAAAGACCTTCAAGGTTGATCGAAATGGCCGCGTCGAGATCGTCAGCATTGATCGACTCAAACCAGCACACGTCGATGACAGTGCCCTATCTGATAACCTGTGATTCAATGCTAGATCTATCAAACCTACTAGCGGGATCCTCAATCCATCTTCAGGTCCCACGCTAGATACACCTGAGACCTCTTTCTCACGTCCCAGTCAACAGCACGCGTCATCTGCACCGTCTACGGACGAGACGACAGTCTCACGTCCAGATCAGCAGACCACGCCGCCCTTGAATTCGGATGAGATTTCAGGCTCACACGACGCGAACGAGACTGCCGTCTCACGTTCCGGTCGCCGAGTGCGGTTGCCCGTACGCTTCCGCGATTAGTCGCACAGTCAACAACCGATACGGTGTAGGATTATTTCTATACTACACGCATGCTACATTCTTCTCTTTTTTTGATTTTCTCTTTGTTTCCTGAGCCCGCGCCTTCGACC